TTCTTCCCCAATGTACTGGTTTGAGGAGTTTTTGTTTATACTCCTACATATTATTCTATCAAAAGGAATATATTATATTGAAGAAGACAACCACTATTTATACAAATGTGCAATGATCTAAATGTGAAAAACAATGTGTGTTTATTCGAGAGATTTTAATTTCGAGTTTTGATTTTGAATAGTAAAATTTTGAATTGAAATAGTGGTTTGATGTGATATAAATATGTATTGACGTGATGTTTTGAATGTAAAATTAGATTTTAGTGTAATAAAATAAATAAAAATTGGATGTTCGATTTGATATTTTTGGAGGGGAAAAGAAAGTTAGAATAGTAAAATAAGAGATAAAATCTTACAAATAAACAAAATCAATGATTCGCCATCAATCTTGCTGATTTCAAAAATCTATTTCAATATACAATGTATTATCGATTATAGATTTTCAATTAAACATTCATTTTATTAGAATAATGAATATATAATCATAATTGATAAATCGGTGCCGTTACCTTGCTAATAAACCCTAATATGTTGGATTAATATTTAATCTAGCGGATACGATTCACACAGAGTATTATGCTAATTTTATACTCTCTCCGTCCCAAAATTATAGTCTTAATTAAGTTTGGCACAGAATATTGATATTATATTGGTAGTTGGTAAAAAGTATAGATAAAATACTTTTTTGCCTTTGTGTAAAAAGTAGTGGCAATTGTGTAATAAAAATGAAAGAATAGAGGTAGTTTTATGGTGATAGAGTTATATATGGAAATAAGAGTATTGTTTTGGGACGAACAAAAATGGTAAACAAGACTATTGTATTGAGACAGATGAAGTATTTTCTAAAACATGTAAGTTATTAAAACAATAAAAATTAATTAAACAAACTTACACAAATAAATAAACAATATCCAATATATAAATTAGCCCGGGTTTGCTAATTAATACATTAGATATTGCTTGTTTATATGTTTCATTTTGCTAATGTAATTTTTAGAGATTTAAATAAAATAATATTCCCTCCATCCCGCGGTATGAATTCTTTTATTAGGGACATAATTTTTTAAGTAGTGTAAATTAGTAAGTTATTAACAATAAGTTATGATATTAGTTTATTATTTTTATGGGTAAAATTGCCTATAACTCCCTTGTGATTTCGAAACTCAGCGTAAATTCTCCTTTTACTTTAAAAATTGCACGGTACCCCCTTATACTTTAAAAAATATTACATGAAACTAATTTGTGATTTCGAAACTCAGCATAAATTTCCATTTTACTTTAAAAAATTGCATGACGCTCACTTATACTTTCAAAAATATTACATAAAACTGCATGTCATGCAAAACATATAGATAGGAAATCATCTTCTTATCACATGAGGAAAGTTTCATGGTTGTGAGGTTTCATGCAACGTTTTTTAAAGTATAAGGGGGTACCATGCAATTTTTAAAGTAGAGGGGGAATTTACGCTGAGTTTCGAAACCACAAGGGAGTTATGGGCAATTTTGCCTTTTTTATATGAATAATATTATTGGTATTTTAAAAATTTTTAAGATAATACTTTGAAAAAATATATGCAATATGAATATCATTTGTAGATAATATTTTTATTTATTTATCATTACTATAAATTAGTTTTACAAAAAAATGAGGAGTTTTTAATATAGATAAAAAATTATGTTAATTGAAGAGAGATATAGAAATAAAAATGTTAAAAGTTTAATTAAATTAATTTATATTTGTTAAGTATGTTTTAAGATTGATAAAAGTATTAAAAATGGAAAGAGGCGTACAAAAAGAGAAAAATTGGTCATATGTGGCGGGACTAAGGGAATAATTTTTTTTGAGTATTTAATATTTTTTCTGTTTTTTTGCTCAAATAATAGTCATAGGTACTAACTTGTTTAATAAATTTTTGCTAATATACTTCTTTTTATTATTTTATATATTGCTATAATTTGCTAATTTATATTTTGAATATTGTTTTTTCATCCTTTGTCATTTGCTTATTTAATTTATTAGATATTTAAATAAATTAATCATATCTTTGTAGAGCATAACATATTTTATTTTATATTTTTTTCTTTGCTCAATTAATAGTTGTATGTGCTAATTTATTGATTAAAAATTTGCTAATAGACTTTTTTATATTATTGTTTTAGATATTACTATTGTTTGCTAACTTATGTATTTGATATTACTTATTCATTTGTTTTAGTTTGTTAATTTACGTTTTTAGAAATTTTGTTGGGGTGCAAACCCAAATTCCACATCGGAAGGTGTGAAGAAAAATTTTATATTTTATAAGTCTCAAGTGAACTCCACGAGACATTTTGGAGAATATCCAAAAACAAATCCGTGCGGGCTCAGCCCAAAACGGACAATATCATACTAGTGTTGAGTTGACGCAGTCCCAACTCTGGTATCAGAGTCCAGTTAGATGGTGAAGTAGACTGGGTGGCATTGGACATTGGTTGTGGTGGTGGGTTCGCGCTTGTGACCTGCGGATGTCGAAAGTCTCTTGGCGGTGTTAGGTCGGTCCCGATTAAGGTAATCAGGTAGCGGGTCTCTTGATCCTTGGTTTGAGGGGAGGAAGAAAAATGAACTCCACTAGTATTCTTCTTTTGGAGAATATCCAAAACGGACAATATCATACTAGTATTGAGTTGACCAATCCCGACAAATTTAAATATAATAATAATATTTGTTCGTAAGATAACGTATTTAATACTTTTTTTTTTCTCAAATACTAATTTATATATTCGATATTTTTTTTTATGTGTTTACGGTTGCTAATATGTTTTTTCTTTTTTTACATATGGCTATAATTTGCTAATTTATGTATTGAATATTGTTTATTATGTGTTTAAGCTTAGTGATATAGTTTATCTTATTATTTTATATATTGCTACAGAATATTTAAAAAATTATGGCAATTAAATGTATGAAACATAAATATTATTCTGGAAAATACAAATTTTATATTATTAAAAAATAAATAAAAAACATACACATATAATATGATTGAGATAAATTAATATTATAAAAGTTACGATTTTGAAATGGGGATAAATATAGGTTTTTATATATAAGAGAAATCAATACAGGGTGTGTTTGTTTGACGATTTGGATTTTGAATTGGGATTTAATAATAAAAATTTTGAATTTGAATAGTTGTATGATGTGATATAAATATGTGTTGATGTAATGTTTTGAATGTAAAATTGATTTTTAGTATAATACTCCCTCCGTCCACGGATAAAGTATACATTTACTTTTGGCACGGTGTTTAAGAAATAATAATATTTTAATTATAGTGGATAGTTAAAAGTAGTGCAATGATATTTTTGCCCTTACTTTTTGGTATAAAAGTAATGATGTGATGTAAAGTAAGGATATTTGTGGAAAAAAAGTGAGGTATTTAATGAAAATAGGTGTTTAATTTGATATTTTTGGAAGAAAAAATTAGGATGAACAGTAGAAATCTAATCCAATCTCCCAAACAAACACACCCATTTTCAAAGAATCTTTTACCTAGTAAGTATGTATATCTTATGAAGTTAGATAAGAGGTTTTTTTTAAAAAAAATTATATATGTATTTTTAAAATATTATTTAAATACAATTTTAAATAAATTTTAAATTAAAATTAAATAAACTTTAAATTGATTTATTTGTTAAGTATGTATTAAATAAGTGCATTTTTAATAAAAATAGAAATATGAATAAATTAGAATAAAAAATTTGTGTTTACCGGTATAATTTTGATTTAAATTTTACTTTCACAAATTTTTGTTTCAAAAATTCAGACAAAATGCTTATTTTTTAATTATTATATTATACAATAAAATTTAATTTTATATTTAAAATATTATATAAATTTTAATTTATATTATATTAAATAATTATATTAATTCAAAGTTTATTTTAATTATAAATTTAAATATAATATTGAAATCCACAAACAAATTATTTTGAATCGAAGAGAGTAATAATTTTAATTATAAAAATGTTATTTTAATATAAAAAAAATACAGATGTTGGGACTTACCGATTAACCCTTAATCACTGCACAGCAGCAGCCATTTTCTTCCCTATTCGACTTTTCATTTTCCTTCTTTCTTTTTCACCCCCTCTCTATCAAAGCGAATGCGTTTGTTTGGGAATTTTATACGAAATACACTATTCAATCAATTTTTTTTTTTTTTTTTATAAAAAATATCAAATTAAACATTTATTTTTTATTTTTTATACAATTTTTGTCTTATTGAAAAATTGCTATTTTCCATTTTCGTCTATCCCAAAACAAAATTAACCATTTACTAATTTAGTAATGGTACTACATACCTAATATAATAAATATCCTTCCAACTTACACTATATTAAACAAATGTCATTATTTTTATATTACACAATGCTAAATCCCTAAAATTACAAATATATTTATTTTTTTCTATATATATTTAGCCCAAAAAAATAGTAAAAATAAACTCTGGGTTTATAAATTGAGATTTTAAAATTTATTCGCAATTTGAGCGCATTTAAGTCAAATATCGTTAAATAAAGACCATTGAGGGGTTATACGCAAAGTTTATGAAACCATAAGGGAGTTTGATGCAATTTTAGAAGTACGAAGGATTTTGTGCAATTTCATGAAACTACGGGTGAATTTGGTACAATTTAGCCTTCAAAACATCACATCAATGTCTATTTATATGAAATTATATAACTATTCAAATTCAAAATTTTTACTATTTAAATCCCAATTTAAAATCCAAAATCTTAAATGAACACACGATAAAGGAATGGGCATCAGATCCCATGGAAGTGAACCGGCTGTCAGATGTCTAAAAATCAGCGGTTCACGGTTTCAATTCTGGTTAATGGCGTAAACCGAACCGCCAGTTGAAAGGGGTCGAACCGGCGGTTCGGAACCGGATGGTCGTGTCTAAATTTTCTAGCTTGAAATTTAAAAAAATGAACTTTGGCTAAAAGAAAAAAAAAACTTTCTCCCCCCCAACCCCCACCGCCAGCAATGGCGTTCACTTTTCTCTCTCTGCAGTAATAATGGCGGATTGAGTGACGAAAAACGTGGGAAACTGTGAATAGTGTGTGAGTTGCTGTGCAGCTGCGTCAGAGTCTTTTGAAAACCTCCTTCTTTTTGTTATTTTGACACCAGATTTTACTCCAATGCACTCCGCTTTACGGAATCCAACAGTAGTCTAGTCTCCGGTCCTCTTTGGTTATTTTCCCAATAATCTCCTGGTGAGTTCCGATTCACAATGTTTGTACATTCATCCAACCCTTTGTTTTATATTTTTATGGTTTTCATTTCATGCTAATGTTTGTGATTGGGAAATATTTGAATTTCATGAGTTTGGAATGCGGCTTCGATCTTTGTATGCTTTGTTTATATTGCTTGAGTTACAAAAATATGGGGGTTCGGAATGGGGAAGTAGCATCGGTAATTGGAAATATTATTGTTCTGATTCTGTCGCATTAATGAGGGATTGTTGGGTTGAATCATGTGTTAGTTTGATCTATGATTTTTGCAGCGAAGGTACTTTTCTTCATTGCGTGGTTGTTGAAATTGAATTAGTTTGGTACCTAAATTGCTCTTGGTTTTTTCACAATCTGCTTTTCTTCATCACTGTAACGAAATGGAAACATGGTTGAGTTTCATTTGTAAATTTAAGTGTAGATGAATTTGGTGGAGATTTTTTGTGATTACACTTGCTTTGAAACAAACACTGTCAGATGAAATTCTTATAGCTGGGTAGCATTTGAGCAGAGTGTCTATTTGCTAATATTGACTGAGTTTTTTGAATGTTGTTGGCAGATTTACTTGATGTTGATGCTTCTATCTTGCTGGAAACGCAGAATTGGGTTATATATCGCCATTGATAAGTTGATGTTATCAATAATGCACCTTCTTATTGGGGTCTTGGCATTGGCTCATTTGTTATCTTATGTGTCTTCTGATGCCCAAGGTATCCTGCTCCAACTTTTTATCTTGTCACTGCAATTGCTTCATAAAACTATTATTTATTGAATTACTTTTTGGGTCCTTCATGTGAGTTAATTGAAGGTTGCGGCACTTTGGTTCCTAATATGATAATGTGCTGCATAGTTCTCCTTTTTCCGTGTTTTGAACTGTTTGTTGAGTTAGTAATATTATGTACAAAAATGCACACATTTTGAAAGTGATTTGGAAAATGATGAGGGGAACACTGTCAACATACTTACCAAGGAATGATACTGCTTTTTGTTTACAGGACTAAAAAGTTTTGCCTGTTTATTTTATATATAAATCAAAATCTCTTGTAAACTGAATCATCTGAAGCTACTTGTTTGTCGTAAGCAATGTAGCTGTTCTATATATGCCATTATGCTTGGGATGGTTGTGTAGTTGGGTTTTTGTGAAGTCTATTTTGTTATAACTAAACAAAGTGAACTTCAAGAAATTGGTGATCAGATTTTGGTAATTACATAATTATTATATCAGTTGCCAATGCCATCAACTTTCCATGTATAAATGTTTGGTTGTTGAAGTTTTTGTCACTATATATAACTCATATCGATGGGGATGGGGTATTTTCAGGAGATGCTCTGTTTTCTCTGAAGACTTCGCTTAATGCTTCCGACAATCAACTGACAGATTGGAATAAGGATCAAGTTAGCCCCTGTACTTGGTCCAAAATTACGTGCAACCACAACTATGAAGTGGTGTCAGTGTAAGAAATTCAGAAACATATTATAAAAATTACAATGCATCCATTTGCTGATCGGTACAAACACACATGAACATGAGAATTATGCCTTTTGTTTGCATTTGTGCCAGGGTATTGCCTAACATGGGATTTTCTGGAATCTTGTCACCAAGAATACAGATATTGAATAAGCTGTCAACACTGTATGTTTCAAGAACTTTTAATTCCTTTCGATTCTTCAAATTGCAATGATTCTTCACTTGGTTATCTCAATATCCTTGTAGCTTATTTGAAATCTACTTAACATTTCATTAAACTGTTAGGGGCAAATAACTCAGCTTTGAAAGCCACCCTGCAAGACGAAACAAAATATCAAATGTGATAAGTATTAGTAGTGTAAATTTCTTCGAGTAGATATTTAATTAATATAGGTTTTACTAGTGATTTGAAAGGAATGATAATTTAGTTCTGTCCATTAGACTTGATATGTATTTTTCCGTGGCTCTAAGCTGGTCAGCAGGTGTAACCAAATAGGTTTATGGTCCCGGGGGAGTAGGCAGCAGATATAGGTACGTTAGCTTTGGTAGATTGATGGACTTACATAGAGGAGATGTTGCTCTTCAATAAATTAGTCTTAGGATTGGATCCCTTGATTGTTAAGTTTGTGCTTTTGTTTTCTATAGTTGATCTGAATCCTACTCAATCAGCTTCGACTATTGGTTTTGTTTCATATCCAGGGAATTACAAGGAAATGCAATAACTGGGAAGATACCTGAACAGTTTGGAAATCTGACAAGCTTGACCCTGTTGGATCTTGCAAATAATCATTTAACTGGAGAAATACCGTCTTCACTAGGCAATCTCAAGGGGCTTACATTTCTGTAAGTTAGAAAGGTCTCAAAATTTTGTTTGTAACTTTGTTTGTTTATTAGTTTCAAAGTAAAATTCTGTTGGGATATGAAGCCTGATTATATCCTAAAATCTAGGGATATGATTTGGATATTATATTTTAGATTTTAGAGATATGATTTGGATATTATTGTCAAAGGCTTAGGCTATAAATATCCATGTATTCTCACTTTAACATGTGCCTGCGTACTTTATAGTAAAATTCCTGGCTTGGCAGCGCCCCCAGACGTAGATCTTTGTGATCGAACTGGGTTACCAAATTCTTGTGTTCTATTGTCTTTGTTTTCTCATCTTGATTTCCTGAAATTTTCATAACAAGTGGTATCAGAGCCTAGTTCGTTGATAGGGTGGATTGAGAGGAATCGGACGTTGGATCGTTGTGGGAATCCCTTGTGACCTGCGGAGGTACCTTGTGTCGAAAGTCTCCTGGCGGTGTTGGGTCGGTCCCGACTGGTAGGTCAGGCAGCGAGTCCCTTTGTGATAGGCGGTGCAAGATTGGTAGGGAAGGATAAGGGTTTCGGCAAACGCAGCGGAATATCCGATGTGCTCTCATATCAAGTGAACCTTAGGTTTGTTTGTGGGAGTCAAGATGGGTGATCGTCGTGTTGTCAAGGTATTCGATGGTATGAACTTCGGTTTCTAAAATATGCATATAGAAGATTACATGAATGGTAAAGATCTAGATGCGGTATTGAAGGAGAAATCCGAAGACATGGATGAAGCCGAATACAAGAAGATCAACAGGAAGACGATGAGTGCGGTTCGACTAACCCTTTGGGAGAATGTGTCGACTGAATTTAGATTTGAGGCAAAAGGAAAGGGTGAAGATCAAGAATGGTCAAAGTTGAAGCCGAAGAATAAGGACAAGGAAGATGCAAGTCAGGTGGTATATTGGAACTGCAAGGGGCACTTGAAACGACAGTGCAGGGCGCCGGAGAAGGATCAGGGTTCAGCAAACGCAACGGAGGAGATATCCGATGCGCTGATTCTGAGCGTCAGCAGTCCAATGGAGTCATGGATTTTGGTCGAACGTCATTCCACTCATGCAGTGATTCGAGAATCATGTAATCCTATACCACAGGTAATTTTGGTGTTGTCTATCTTGGAGATGATGAGACACTGAAAATTGTAGGTAAAGGAATGATTCGAATCAGAACACCGAATTGTGGGGAGTGGAGATTGGATGAGGTATGTTGAAGTGGAAGATGAAATCAGTCTTCAAGTGGGAGATTGTTGGGATATGAAGCCTGATTATATCCTAAAATCTAGGGATATGATTTGGATATTATATTTTAGATTTTAGAGATATGATTTGGATATTATTGTCAAAGGCTTAGGCTATAAATATCCATGTATTCTCACTTTAACATGTGCCTGCGTACTTTATAGTAAAATTCCTGGCTTGGCAGCGCCCCCAGACGTAGATCTTTGTGATCGAACTGGGTTACCAAATTCTTGTGTTCTATTGTCTTTGTTTTCTCATCTTGATTTCCTGAAATTTTCATAACAAATTCTTTTGTCTGCCTGACCAGGACTTTGAGCCAAAATAATCTATCTGGATCTATTCCTAAATCACTATCAAGTCTTCCAAATTTGACTTACCTGTGAGTAATTTGTATAGTAATCACACAGAAAATACTTACAACTTGAAGGATGTACTTACACTGATCTTAATTCTTTTGCAGCATGCTTGATTTGAATAGTCTGAATGGAACAATTCCCGAGCCATTGTTCCAAATTTCTAAGCATAAGTACGGGGATATTTGCGCTATTACCATATATGTATCTTGATTGTGCATGTACATGTATTTATTGCTGGCTTGTGTTTTTTTGCTTCTTCCAGTTTTACCGGCAACCAATTGAACTGTGGCATCAAATTGGCTCACAGTTGCGCATCGGAAAATGCTGGTATGTATATACATTTAGATGTTTAGATTAGTGGCATATCCCTACATTATGGACAATATTGTTCTTCAACATAAATATTTATTTTGATCTTCGGAAACAATTTAATGTTTGTGATCTATGCAGGACAATCAAGAAAATCCAAGACTCCCATGATAGTGGGAGTTGTTGTTGCTTTTGTAGTTATTCTCCTCCTCGGATTATTTCTGGTTTTGTGTTTATCAAAGAGTTGGCACAAAAGCTTTCACAAGAGTGACATTTTCGTCGATGTTGCAGGTAGGTGCAAATTGGCTTAAGATTGAAATTTATTTGTTCCAATCTTGTGTAATTGATTTGATTCAGTAATGCTCAGGCGAAGTCGATTGCAGAATTGAATTCGGTCAATTGAAAAGATTTGCATGGCGAGAACTTCAGCTCGCCACGGAAAATTTCAGTGAGAAGAATCTTCTCGGCCAGGGTGGTTTCGGAAAGGTGTACAAGGGCGTTCTTAGTGACAACACAAAAGTTGCTGTCAAACGCCTGACAAATTTCGAAAGCCCAGGAAGTGATGTGGCATTCCAACGTGAAGTTGAGCTGATAAGCGTAGCAGTTCACCGAAATCTCCTTCGACTACTCGGGTTTTGCACTACACCAACCGAACGCCTGCTCGTGTACCCTTTTATGCAAAACTTGAGCGTCGCTGCTCGTCTGCGAGGTATTAACTTCTTGCATTAAACTCAATATCAATCTACTCATTCATTGACTTCATTTTTGGATATCCGGACGGACAGATCTTAAACCCGGGGAGCCTGTTCTTGACTGGCCTACCCGAAAACGGGTAGCATTGGGCACAGCACGTGGGCTCGAGTATCTGCATGAGCATTGTGACCCGAAGATTATCCACCGGGATGTCAAAGCTGCAAATGTCTTGCTTGATGTAGATTTCGAAGCTGTGGTCGGTGACTTCGGCTTGGCGAAGCTCGTCGACGTGCGGAGAACTGACGTGACGACGCAAGTGCGGGGGACCATGGGCCACATAGCTCCCGAGTATTTGTCGACTGGGAAATCGTCGGAGAAGACAGACGTCTTCGGATATGGGATTATGCTTTTGGAGCTCGTCACAGGTCAGCGGGCGATTGACTTTGCGCGTTTGGAAGACGAAGACGATGTCTTGCTGCTCGACCATGTAAGGAAACACCTCCTTTCTCTTCTCAACATTGATTATAAATGAATGAATGGTTTTGTTTGTTAGTAAGGTTTCAAGTAGAGCTGATAATGGGTCGATTCGTGTCGGGTTGAATATTTTAAACGGGTTAAATTATTCAACTTTAACCCGATCCGTTTATTATCGTGTCGGGTTTGTGTTGACCCGTTTATTATCATGTCGGGTTCGGGTTGACTCGTGTTGACCCGTATACATAATTAAGTCAAAATTCTTGATTCAAATTAAATAATTTTTTGTCGTGTTGGCGTCTTATGTTAGTTTTTATTGATTTGAGCGCAAATTAGGTTGAATATTTAAAATTGAACTTAGTTTAAATTAATTTATGAGAAAATTATTAAATTATAAATTTTACATATATAATAAATATATTATAATTGGATTGTCGTGTCGGGTTCGTATCAACTCGTATATATAATTGGGTTGAAATATTTAATTCAAATCCAATTATTTCGTATCGGGTCTGCATTTGTCAGCTCTAGTTTTAAGTATTGTTGATAAACTTTTAGGTGAAGAAATTGCAAGGCGAGAAGAACCTGGGCGCAATCGTGGACGGGAACCTAAAGAGAAGCAACGATGTGGATGTGGATGTGGATGTGGGGGAGGTGGAGATGGTGGTTCAGGTGGCGCTGCTGTGCACTCAGTCGTGGGCGGAGGATCGGCCGGCGATGTCGGAGGTGGTGCGGATGCTGGAGGGAGAAGGGCTGGAAGAGAGATGGAGAGTGTGGCAGAATGTGGAGGTTACGAGGAGGGAGGAGTACCAGAGGTTGCAACGAAGGTTCGATTGGGGGGGAGAGAATTCCATTACCACCCAACACCCTATGGAGCTGTCGGGAGGTCGATAGATAGACCAGACCAGACCAAACCAAACCAAACGGGTTCCCAAATAGTGATGAGTATTTATCTATTCATATTTGTATTTATATTTATGATACGGGAATTCGCAGGTAAGAGGTAAGGTGCTGTGCTGCTTTTCTTTGAATATAAGATCCCGCCCAAGCATGAGTGCTCGAGGGCTATTTTGAGTATATATGTAGTGTAATAGGGCTGGCATGAGGACCAACTACTATGTATATGTATGTGTGACCTTTTCCTTTTATTATGTAAAAAAATTGACATATATTTATAGTGTGTGGATGATTTTTCTTTTTTTTTTGGCAAAATTGCCTATTAACTTCCTTTTATGTTTCAAAATTCGGTGTAAATTTTTTTTTTACTTTAAAATTTGTCTGGTTTTTCTTATATTTTAAAAAATGTTAGTACGAAACCCTCTGTAGTTTCAAAATTTAGCGTAAATTCCCTATTTATTTTAAAAAATTGCACGACGTTTTCTTATATTTTAAAAAATGTTACTATGAAACTTCAATATTATGCGAAAAATATAGATAGAAAATTATTTTTTATTACACAATGAAAGTTTCGTGGCGGTGGGGTTTTATGCAATATTATAGGAAAGTTTTACGCTGAATTTCGACACTAACAATTTTATTTTATTTATTTATTTATTTTTAATGGTGGTGTATTGGATTTGATATATTTAGGATGAAATAGATAGAAGTTGTGATTAGCGGCCAACTAGCCTCTAAATCTTGGATGGGCATTTTATGTTGATGCTTTCAAACTTGCTGTTCTTCTTCTAAGAAAATCATTGATACACTTTAGATATAAGTCAGCAAGTGTTGACCGGTGAAGGAACTCAACTTTTGACATGGAGTAAAACTACAAAGGCTCAACGGTTCCACCAACAAAAAAGCCCTATCCATCTATCTAGTTTGGATAGATTTCCCCAGACGCAATCCGCATATTACGTTTCTACGTTCTTTCTTTGTTGATTTTTTCACTAACTTTTACTTTCTAAAAGATATTGCTAAAAATGAAAGAAATTGTTGTGAATTTATACCCGGATCGATAAGTTTATTCGAACAATCCTCGTATACAAAATTATACAAATTAATTAGCAGAAGCGATAATGGAATAAAGTCTAAAACAATTTTAAACCAAATGAAATTGAAATAAACTGTTTGTGTGAATTAATTTGCACGCCTAATTGAAATCCACGTCTGCTTTAGTTCCTTGACAAGGATGATCTACGACGACAATGGACTGCGGCTCCAGGTTTGCTCTGATGAACAGCCATGCGTCGGCAATGAACTCCAGCGCGACAACGGCTCGTGTCTCCAATCTTCCTTTGGAACGACAACAGCTCTGATGACTTCCGAACCGCGGAAACTGCTTGTTCATCTCCTCCGGCGACGGCGCGGTTGGGCAGTGGCTCATCCTGACGGTAACTCCAGACATCGCATCGAGAAATCCGGCAACTGATGCTGACAAAGACAACTTCTTCAGTTATTTTCTTCAACGAAACAATGGTTGAATTAAGGCTCAGCCCATGGTGCTGCGAAGTGGCCCGAGTTAACCACACCTCAAGGTGAAGGTCGACACGTCACTCTAAATTTTGACAACCATCGAAAATAGGCAAAGAAAAGCTTCGAATCCTCACCGGATCTCTCCCTCTCCCTCTCACTATGGGATTCACTCTTCAAAAACCAATTCACACAACTCCCAAACTAATTTCTATATCTATATTTCTTGAAACTTCCCTAAAAAACTTACTCCATAACAAACCCTTAACTAAAATGGGTTATTAAATTGGGGTTGGATTTAAGGACAAATGCTTTGGGCTTGACTTTGGATTTAAAGGGTTTGGACCAAATTCGGTAGGCTAGGCTAAGGAGTGGGCCAATTAATTATCAAGAGACTCGTTGGGTTAGATTTCAAACGGCCAAATTTTTCAACATACTCCACCTACTTTGGCCGTGCTTTAACCAAATCTCAAATACATATTTGCTAGATATAGACTTACCTTGCACCAATAAGTTTCGTAATCGCCTTTTGTCCCTCACTGCATTTACGAACAAACGTCAACACAGACTAAACATATCACATATAGAACACACAAGTCCTAACATGCACATAGATAGATCACACAATAGCCTAGCACATAGCACATACAGATACTACAAAAATACGCAGATAAACACATTTAAACAGATTCAATACAGTGAGCCTACAAATTCTAAGCGAGCACACAAGCTATTACACAATCCAACAACATATGCAAATTCACAAATCAATGCAATCACATGCCGAATACAAAATTTAGAATCATATAATATGAGCTCCACCTTATTTGACGTCAACGAGAGACTACACAGCTCTAGGCACAAAACACAGCTTAGGCACACAACTCTACAGCTTACGTACTCCAATATGAGGCCTTACAACTTAAGCACAAAGTCCTACAATCTAAGCACAAAGTCTCACAGCCTTAGCACCTAGTTCAATCGAACATTATCACTACGATCTCCAGAGATGCAATCGCTTAGGTTGTGTTATTTTGTAGTTTTTACCACAAGTTTTTACTATTCAAATATTTTTTTCCTCCAAAAGTATAACGTCAAACAATTATTTTTCTTTTTTATATTATATTACAAATTTATTTTACATTCAAAACATCACATCAACCTTTATTTATATCACATTAAACAACTATTCAAATTCAACTTTTTACTATTCAAAAATCCAAATCAAAAAACTAAAACCCACAAACAAACATACCCTTAGAATATCCTAACCTGGGAAGAACAATAAACAACCTAGGAGGAACACAACCACTCAGGACAACCCAGCTTGGAAGACCACTAAGCAACCTAAGAGGAACACAAGCACTAAGCTCCTAGTCGGCCGAACACTACCACAGAGGATACCCTAGAACATAATCTCAAAAGAATCACTAAGAATGAATACACAATATTCACATAATCACATAGACAACAATCAACACAGACTAACAATCAATTCAGGACAGAACAAACTTTATTCACACAAAGAAATTAGTCCACAAAAAATAACATGCAATCCAAGTAATACATATTATCACCAAAGATTCATGCCAATTTATATCACATCGAGAACTCAAAAATCACATTAAAAAAATAATCTACATAATGTCAATTAAACAATCAAATTTATCCACAAAGATTTTAATAAAAAAAATGCAAACAACAAATCACATAGAAGCAAAACAACAAGCATCCAAGTATTCCTATATTTCTACAATTAGTTTTAATTTTTTTTTTTAGCAACTCATGCCTATTTTTAACAACTAATCTTCCCAAAAAAATACGCAATTTGATTTTTCACATGTTGACATTTTATTATTCACAAAGAATGCTATAGAGGAAACACTAATACAATCACATAACATACAAAATTAAGAATTTAACATATGCATTTCAATTAATTCACGAAGAAATCATATAATGCAACAACACTAATTTTATTTTTAATTATCTTCCAATTATGATTTCTCATAGACATTTTTCACTAATACCTAACATAAACTTTTTATCTGATAAAGAAAGTTAAAAACATGCAATACTAGCTCATAAAGAAATTCAACATGCATTTTTACTACAGCTGGCTATAGCAAGTCAAGAAACATAATATTAACACAAATATAGCCCAAGAAAAAAAAACACCAAGAGAATAATCCTAGGAATAAAAATAAGGGTATATTCCACTGCTGGCACTTGTGTTATTTGAAATTTTCCTAAAACACCCTATGTTTATTTTAATTGCGTATTTAATATTTTTGATAAGACAGATTCTGCGTGAAACCCCAATTCGTTCACAATAAACGGAGAGTAGAATACACATGCTATTTATGTGTGTATAAGTGAGACGAACTCCCAAATATCGTATGAAATGACATGATACCCTCGATTGTATGTGAATATATTTCCAATATTTATAATTTTTGTTTGTTGATTGTATGCCCTAACTCGAAAAATCTTTTCTTCACCATCGAGCGCATCTTTACCGAATGTGATTGAAGTTGACAAGAAAGGGATTCAGAAATTCGTCATGCAGATAAGAGCTTAGGGGTTCTTAAATTAGTGTTGTTGTTTGAGAGTAAGTTGATTTGTGGTAAGAATATGCACTGGGTCGAGAAAGTAGGTTATGTTGTTTTTACGATAATAGAAGTGTTAACCTTTGATGCGTTGGTGTCGCTCTCTTTCTCAAAATTCTATTCAAATTTTGTAGATAGTGGTAATCTTTAATTTTTTATTTTATTTTATTTTTTTGTGTGTGGAATTGATTTAGGTGTTCATGTAATAGTGAAGTTTATTTATTTATTTTTTTTAAACAATAGTAGAAGTTAGGGATAGATGTTTTATGTTCCATCCGATTGTCGATGAAGACTTGTTGATCGAGTTTGTTGCTAATTTAGAATAATTTTTGTTGAATCGGGTTGTTTTATTATTTTTCTTAGGCAATTTTGGATTGAATTGTATAGTCGACCTTGCTTTTGTCGAATAGGTGACACTAATATCTACAGTATCCTCCATTAGCAAAAGAGGCTTGAGAGCGGAAGTACTGGATTAAGATACAAGAATCCAATATGTAAATACAGAAAATATGATGCTATTAGAGTCGTTGGGCCTACCAAAGATACAAAAGGTAAATTGTTTTACAATTGCAAAAGTAAAACAATGTGATTTTTTTTTTGGCTTGAACTCTTGAATGCACAAGAGAAGGAAAAATCAAAGTTTGGGGTCATTAACTCTAACAAAGAATATGAAGTAATGCCAAAATCCAAAACGGGTATGAATGTAGGTCATGGTGCCATATGGAGGGTTGAAATGGACAACATTGCTAGAGTGATAGAGTTGAAGATGAAGTGTTTCGAAGAAAAATTTGAATATGATTACATATCTTTGTGTTTTTGTTATTGTTGCTTTTTTTTTTTTTTTTTTTTTATCTGATTGTTATTGTTGCTCTTGCTTTTATGGTAATGTGTAAGTAGGTGTCTATATTTTTCAATGTTGTATTTAGAGATAACATTTTATGTATTCGGGGGTTTAATCGTTACGTTGTTATTACATCTCTTGTATTCGGTGTTTGAATTATATTTATGACATCTTTTATTTGGTGTTTGAAATTATTGTGTTGTTATGAATCAAACAATGTTGTATATTATTGTGTTGATTGTATTTGGTGTATGAAATTATTGTGTTGTTATTTGATGCCTTCTATTGACCTTAATATCGTGGAAAATAAAAAACAGTAGCATAAA